CAATAAATGAATGTTTCTCATTAGAAGCTTCCTACTGCAGTGAGCTTCCTTCTGGATGATACTTAACACCTATAAATGTCTCTTGCTCACTGCCAAAAAAGCAAGTGGGAAACCTGGCTAAATCCTCACTGGTGATCAAAGTGAAAAAAGCATCAGTCTCATTTAAGGGAATGGATTATATAATTTGTTTATTGTCTTCTTTTTAGATTTGAATTTTGAAGACAAAGATGAAGATGACTTTGACTTATCAATGCTACTTAAAAATATTGAAATCCAAATTTTATTCAGATTTCTTTTCTTTTTACTCTTTCTTTTTCCGTTCTCTTCCCCTTGGCAATCAGTTAGAAGCCACATTACCTTGAAGTGTCATGTTTCCCTATTGTCCTCTGGTTGTGGCAATTTCTCAATGCTAGACTTTTTATGTTATTGTTCATATGCCACTTCTTAAATGTCATTTTCTGATGTTTTGCTGCTAGTATGAACAAAAATGACTTATTTTTAATATGGATCTTGTGTCAGTGACCTTGTTAAATTTATTTTTTAAATTCTAAATCAATTCTAGGGGTTCTTTTGCATTTATGTGCTTTTATATGCATTTATATACTTTATATTTTATTGGTACACAATCAAATCATCTGGACATAATGAAAAAAATAGCTGAGATAGTCAACAATAGAGTTGAGCTGGCCCTACACAAACAAAATATCCAATAAATATACAAAAGTCTGCTGACCCTTATTAACGTCAGTACAAATTAATACTGTGAGGTGTCACCATACACCACTAGAATGGCCATATATCTAACAAGCTGGAAATATCAGGTACAGAGTGAGATAGACTGTTAACTCCCATACATTGATAGTGAGAATATAAGTCATGACAGATATTTGGGAAACAGTTGATGTTACTAAACCTGAACTTACCTGTATCTAGTAGAAATATTGTAGAAATGTACATACTAGGGCTTTCAGAGCAGAATTAATCAAGATGAAAATAACTCCTGATTGCTCATCAATAGTGGAAAGATACAACACTGACAGTGTTTCTAAATAGGTAGGCCACTCTAATACAAACTAATGAGCTAAAACTACACATCTACATACATTAATCTAATAGACATACTATGGAGTAAAAGACACTTTTATGTAAAATTCAGAAATAAGAATATTGGGTTTTAAAAGGAAGTTCTGATGTTGGAGAAGGAGAGAGAATAAGGGATTTCTGTTCTGTTGGTAATATTAGGTTTTCACTCAGCTTGTGGTTATAAAGTGTACAGAAGTTTTTACTTGATAATAATTTAATGAGCTGTGTACTTAAGATTTGTGCATGATTTTCTATGTATGTTATATAGTTTTTAAAAATGGGAAATGGGGAATTCTCCCTTTCATGCATTCAAGCTTTCTCACTGTAGACTTTGCTGCCTGCTCCAAGATTATCTGAATGGTTGGTAGTGGGGGGGTGGAGGGGTGAGGTGCTTAATTTCTGTTTTACCATGCTCATGGACTTCTCAATAATGCTTCATCTTCTTTAATTTGTCATTATTATAGTGTGTCTTATTCCTTGAAAAACAATTGAATAGATTGGGCGAAAACAATGATAATTTTGGTTTCTAGAATTTGTGTTGTCCTACATAGATAGTTATATTTAAAAAGAAGGGGAAGAATCTCTTCCTGTCTGTGAGAGCTATAGCAAAGTGGTTCTAAATTCAGATGATGATTTCAAATGGCTAGGATATCATTCAAGTTTTACTTTCTACATTATCAGTTTGTCTCTCTGAAAAATCTCATTGACGGGAAGTGCTTCTTTCTACAGCCAAAATTTTTATAGAAGATGCAAATGAAAAACAATCCCCAAGAAAGGTGAAGTGAAACTGTCTTCCAATAACAAAGAAAATGGCTCATGTACTTGTCCTTGCAATTCATTGATCTAGCCTAAGAAATAGAGTTTACAGGTTGAGATGAAGTTCATGAATTTTCCTGGTTATTGTAATAGAACTCTAAGACAGAGTTTTATCACACGAATATTTCAGAATCTTTTGGTATTTACTGAGGGCCCTGATATCCACTTGATCTTGACTGCACAAATGTTCAGGCAGTTTCCGTTGCTGTTATCAGATTGGCCTTGATGGCTTTTCAGGAAATACCTCTTGGTAATTTGGGGGGCTTTGTTTTCTTGTGCTTTCTCCCCACTGCATGTCTTGTGGCAATTGTTGGTTTGCTCTTATCTGCTTGTATTTTGTGGTTCATGTCCCCCAGTCTTACGTTAGATGGGGCTTGGGTTTGGTTGCAGTGTCTGCTTTCGTGTGTGGATTTGGGAAATTGAAAACTCTGTTGCTACACTGCCTTCTTAATCTCTTTATATATTTTTAATTGCTTGTTGCATGTTTTCAACATTTAATAGTCTTCACTCATGTGGGTAAATGATGCTGGTATCTTTGTCACTGCCAAATTTAGAATAAAGGTAAGTGCTTCTTTCTTACCCCATTTAGGAGGCATTGCATCAACATAATTGAAGCATAAGAACTATTTTAGGAATATCTCAGATCTCACCAATAAATAATCCCATCTGTGGAGAGCTATTACATATGGTCTACAAAGATGGAAGGATATTTGGGTTATATATTGACAATGTTGTAAAGATCACAACACAGTACATTAATTGATGATGGGAACTTGGGTGGTTCTCGATTTTAAATCCATATTTATCCAGATACTTCTAGCCTTTACTTCCTTTGATACAATAGAAGCAATATTGAAATCAATATTGAAATCATTATAACCTATAGAATGATGCAGCTGTCTGCAAAAGGATGGAGAATTTCTTTAAGCACTGGAATATGGTGTCAGGAATTGAGTTTTCCAGAAATGAATTCATCCTTCTCTAGCACCATCCCACTTGAATAAAGTAGTGATAAATCATCTGCCAGACCATCCACCCTTCCTCTATTACTTACTATTACTTATTGTAGTAAGATTGTCCTTTTTTCTTAAACTTAAAGTCTTTCATGCTATGTAAAAACATCCCCAAGATATCTACTGCTCTTTGAATGAAGAAACACACTTAACATGGTCTCACAATCTTTTGCTATCTGACTCCCACCTGCCATCTCAGACCCTTCTCTAAATAGCCTCTCGCTCAAGGTTGCAACGGCCCTGAATTGAGCACATATAACCCCAGCTGGCTTTTCTTCAGATTTCAGTTCCAGTGTCATCTCAGGCAGGACTCTCCAACCTTTTCTACTACATTTTGTCACCATATCATCAGGATCCCCAGCAATGAGACGCTCTCCTCCTGTCTTGGCACCCTTGCATTGTGCTTCTGTATATTTCTTTTTTATTTAAATTTTTTTTGATTTATTTATTTATGCATACAGAACGGGGGTACAGGCCAGAGGTGTGGTAAGTGAGAGAATTCACCAGAGAAAGAGTGGGGAGCAGAACAGGCAGATGTACTGAGATACACTGTTGAGGGGAGCAGCAGGTGAGACAGGAGAGGTCTGTTGTGCCATGTGGGTCACTTGCGGGGCTGGAACAAAGTCCTTAACTGTCCTTTTAAATGTGATCCATTCAAAACTGTCACTTGAGGAACACCTACTGGTTGAAGAAAGTCCAGAATTGCAGCACTGTTTAGTCCCTGTGCCTCAGGCTACACTACCTTCAGGCTGGGATGTAGTCTGAAGCGGCCATGGCCAGCTTTGCAGTGCTATGCTCCAACCTACTGCACCACCAGGGAGGGCCTCTGTATATTTCTTTGATTGATATTTTTATCCCCTGCTTAGCTGTATGGTCCATGAGAGTGAGGATTATAATCTGAAGCTGCTCATGCTACAATTTCTTAGATACAGTAGGGATTCAGTAAATTCAGTTCGAAAGACAATGTGAGAATTTTCTGAAACAGCAATTTATTATTTTAAGTATCATGATTGTAACTCATTTTTGTGTTGAAAACTTTTTAGATATATCATGTCTCTCTCCTTATATTAGTAAGCTATAAATTCATATTTGATTTTTTACTGATTAGTCACTTAGAAAATCAGTTATTATACTCAGCAAAAAAAATGGCCTCAAAAATATTGAGACAGGATCATTTGTCTTAACAGTAACATCCCCTGACTGCTTGATTTTTTTTTCTCCCATTTTCCTTCTAGATCTCCTTCTAATTTACAGTATCTATTTGCATGAGAGTGGAAAATCAGACACTTTGATTAGTTAGAAGTATGTACAAAATAAGAATATATTAGAATATTACAGAGGCCCCCAAGAAGTGACCATGAATGAGCATTTGCACATGGCCCATGGTGCATTCATTCCACCTGCTTAGAGCCTTAGTCCTCGTGACATTCTGAATAGTTGGGTTTGCTAGATAAAAAAAATAAATAAGGCTGATAAAACTATGTGATGTCTTCTTTACATAGTTAAGGCCCTCCTTACCCCAAAACATTCAAATCAACTTAAGATTATTCTATTTCATAGAGAAAGAAAGTTTGTCTTTTTTTTTAAAAAAATGCTTTTTATATATGGTACTTACATTATTGTTGTATGCAGTGTAATTGGGAGTTAAATGTAATTCTTGTGAAAAAGAAAACCCCCATAGAAACAAAGACCAATGGAAAAAAAAACGTAAAAGAATCAAAGAAGCCAGTCAAAGAACCCTTTAGTAGTACATTTCCAAATGTTTCAGCTTAGTACTTACCAATTCACCAATACCTTACAAAACATAAATATGTTAAATCCTCACATTTTGCTTCTTTTTCTCTAATATACAGAAAATAAAGTAGGAGCTGAAAGAAAAAAAAACACAATTCCAAAGTAGTAAAAATTTAAATGACAAAGTGAAAACTGAAAAGGAGAACTGAAAGTGGGAAATTCCTGGTAAGTAGAAAGAATAGAGGACCTGCCCATATAAATAGCCCATGGTCATGGAGAGAAGACACTCACTCTTGAAGCCTTTGCTGGGCCACCTAAGGTGTAGTAGACAGCACCGTGCCTGCTGTTATCACCATGCCCAACAGGTGCATCCTCCAAGCTGCTCTCCTGGTGTGCTTCTGCACCAGAGCTCTTTCTGGGAACTACAGCTTGCTTAGATCCCAGCAGAGAAGAAGCAATCTGGAAAGCCAGAGGATCCTGGGCCAGTTGAATGGATCTGATATCAATTGCCTCAAGCTAAGGCTAAACAGCACCCTCCCTGAGGAGGTGAAGCATCCACCAAGGCTCCAGAAGGAAGATGCCCTATTAATCACCGATGTGATGCTTCAGCAGATCTTCCAGATCTTTGGCAGAAATTATGCCAGTACTGGCTGGGATGAGAGCATCATTAAGAAACTCAATGTGAACCTTTATGAACAGATAAAGCAGCTGAAAACTGCCATGGGAGAAATAGCGGAGAAGGACAATTTCCCTTGGTCAAATAAGATCATCCGGAAACTGAAGAAATACTACTTCAATCTCGTATGTTACTTGCAGGTCAACGAGTACAGTAGCTGTGCCTGGGTGATCGTCAAAAGAGACATCTTCAGGAGCATTTTCTTCCTTAACAAACTTACAGACTACCTCCCAGACTGAAGGTGGTCCAGCCTGAGGTACAGGGACTAAACAGTGCTGCAATTCTGGACTTTCTTCAACCAGCAGGTGTTTCTCAAGTGATGGTTTTGAATGGATCACATTTAAGAGGACAGTTCAAGACTTTGCTTTTTAAAAATTATTTATTGCATTAAGTTATTTATTTATACATTTTTACCTGGAAAAATAAATTATTTATGAAACAACAGTCAACCTGGCAAATTTCATTTCAACTTGATTTAGATAGCCATCCATATTCAAAATTGCAGAGTACCTATTAGATATTCTTTATAAAAGGCCTGAAAAGTAGTAGAGTTTCTGGCCCTTGCTTTTAAGGAAAATTAAAATCCAAGGAATCTATACAAGGTTAGAGATGGTAGGGGGAATCTGCTGTGCATAGGGGAATATGTGTAACTTGAATAGAATTAAAATGGGGAAGGTAGGGAGGTGGTCCTGGAACTAGAACCAGGAGGCTCCACTGTTACTATTCTGTGCTCCCAGCCCTCTAACACTAAAGTTAGAATTGGACTGACTTCAGGGCAAGCAGGGAAATCTTTGCTCTTGTCTTCATCCTAAACTCATCACTGGTAGGTGCGGAATGCTAGTAGCAGCACCCTTGTGCTTGGGATACGTAGGGTGTCAGGCAGAGGGACTCTGTCTGCTTCCAGGACACCCACCAAAGGGAGAAAGAGCTCTGCTTTATGCTGCTGCCAGCTCTTTGGGTTTTCTCATTTTTCCAGAAAACTGACATTGCTTCTGTTTTTTTCATACAGAATTAAGGGACTACCCTATTGGCTTCTCCTGCTTCTCTGTCTCTCTAAAACCATATACTCCCTAGAGCCAAATTCAAGACCAGGGCAACAGATGCAAGATCAGCTTTAGGTCAAGTCCAGTTTTCTGAATAACCAGGAAGCATGAGAGACAGGCAAATCCAGATGGGGAGAGAAGGTACTAACTTTTCCAGGGTCTGTACAGAGAGAATATGAGTCCCTAGGAGTTCTTTGGGCATGTGGTCAGCAGGGCTGGGTTTGTCTTCATACTATGCCCCTTGGGAAACTGGACGATTATGACCGTTGCTGTCATTCAAGCTGCCATCAAGGCACCGAGCTAGGCTCTTGTGTTTAGTTGAATCTGAACATCGTTGTCCTCCTCACAAACACCCCTCAGGTAGGCCCAACTACCTTCATACTATTTTACTTCCAGAAACTCTAATTGATTTCCTAATTGTTCCAAGATCATGTAGCCAGTGAGTAGAGGTTCAAAAAGAGGAAGTGGGAAAGGAAGAATCATTGAAGACTTTCCCTATAGACCTTTTCTCCTGGGCAGTACAGATGTTTGGGTTGTCTCTAAGAGCTTTACTTCCAAGAGAAGAAATCTGTCAGAGAAGGCATTACTGTTGTGTAAGGAGCACCAGACTCTCTCTTCTCACTCAAGTAGGTGACATAACAGCTCTCCAACCAAGGAGTGTCACCCTGGGGATAGTTCCAAGGATTCCATCAACACCTAAAGAATGTTCAAAACGCAGGCCCTCCCTGGTGGTGCAGCAAGTTAAAGCACAGCACTAAGAAGTTAAAGCCACGTCAGCATGAGTTCAATCCTCTCCCTGGAGCTGACCCACATGGCGCAGCAGACCTCTCCTGACCCACCTGCTGCTCCCCTCAGCAGTATACTTCGTACATCTGCCTGTTCTGCTCCCACTCTGTCTTTGGTGAATTCTCTCACTGCCCTGTACCTCTGGCCAGTACCCCAGTTCTGTATGCATAAATAAACAAATCTTTAAAAAAAAAAGAATGTTCAAAACTCAGTTATAATAGGAGGAGCACAGGGGATTGTAGTGATAGTGCATGAGCGAATGGGGGAAGAAATTCTGTGGGGTCTATACCTGAGTTGGGGGAAGGAAGCATTGTTTTAAAATAAACTATGGTGTAAATGTATACATGTGTGTACATAAATGTGTGTGTATGTGTATATATATATAAAATAAAAAAAAACTCATAATAAACAAACCCAATAAAAGATAGACAAAAGATTTGAACATAAACTTCACCAAAGAAAATACACAAATGGCTGCTAGAATAGGAAAAGGACTTATGTTTTCATAAGTCATGAAGGAAATAAATTAAAAGTTGGATGAGATATCACTGCATGTTGCTTAGAATGTCTAAAATTAGACTGACCATATCGAGCAACGGCAGCACAGAGAGCAACTGGGACTCTCCTGTGCTGCTGGTGGAAATTATACATGGTCCAAGAACTTTGGAAAATCACTTTTCAATTCTTAAGACAGGTAAACATACATGTGCCATATGACCCAATCATTTCCCTCAGTTATTTCCTCCCGAGGAAGAAATGACACAGACAGGCTTGCACATGAAGGTTCGTAGGAGGGTATTTACTGGCAGTACCTGGATACACTGGGGTTAAAGTCTCAGCACTATGAAATGATCACCAGCCACTGTGTGACATGAGTTCGATCCCTGGCCAGGGAGGTGACCCACATGGCACGGCAGACCTCTCCTCTCTCCCCCGCTGCTCCCCTCAGCAGTATACTTCAGTCAATCCGCCTGTTCTGTTCCCTACTCAGTCTCGGGTGAATCCTCTTACCTACCTGTAATTATGGCTCTATATCCCAGTTTTTGTATGTATAAATAAATAAAAATAAATCTTAAAAAATAATAAATTAACTGCAGCAAAAAATAATGCATCCCTGATACACACCATGAGGATGACTAGCAAAATAATTATGTTGACACTGAGAAGACAGACAAACTCAAGAATATTCTGCATTGTCCTATCTTTACAAAGTTCTAGAAAGGAAAACCAATATATAATGACAGAAAATAGATCACTGGTTACCTGGGAATGGGGACAGAGAGGAAAGAGATGGAAGCCAAGATTGTAAAGAGACATGAAACTTCTGAGAAGATATACATATGTTCACTTTCTTGACTATAGTGGTGGTTTTGGGAATGTAACATAGCTCAAAGCTCATCAAATTTTCACTTTAAATAGGTGTGGCTTATGTGTGTCAACTATACCTCATTAAAGCTCTTCATATATATATACATAGAAAAAAATAAATAAATGGATAAAAATGGAGCCAAATCATGCTTTTCCCCATTTTTCAGAATCAACATACAATGTCTGACATTCTAAGAATTTGTAAAATTCTAAGATTCAGTTAAGAAACCCTTAAAAGGAAACTTTTTCTCATAGTCTATTATTCTCAACAGTTAGATTGTTAGTGGGTTTTATGACACCTTTGCAATAATCTTTCTTATTTTAAAATGTTGTGCAAGAAGTTGTGTAATAGGCTCTTATGCTAAAACCATGACAAAATCCAGGGTCCTTTATACATGTATGGCTCGGCCAAATGCATCCGGGTTGCAGCACCCCATGTCAAGCGCTCAAGGAAACAATTTTTCCTCCTTCTTTTTTATTTTGGTTAAATATACATATCATCATGTTACCACTTTAGCCATTTCAGGTGCACAGCCCTCTGGTATTAAGTCCATTCACTTATTTTTGCAACTGCTCCCACCATCCACCTCCCTAACTTGTTTTAATCTTCCCAATGGAAACTCAATACCACTTAAATGCTAGC